TAGAGATCGTGGGTTTCAATGGGTGGATGGGCTTATATTAGGTTTAATAATTTGTATCCTTGGTGCATATATGTTAAAACAAATACCAGGTAGAAAAGCAGCTGATGCATGCATTATTTTATTTCTTTCTCTTGTTGGTTTTTTCATTGGTGATGTTTTGTCAAAAAATGCATTTAAAAAAAGATGTGTTCGAAAAATTAATCCACAAGCATCACAGAAAACGAAAGCTGGTGTCTTTATTTTTTTTTGTTTTTGTTTTCATTTATTGTCATTCACTTACAGATTACACTTGTGACTAAATATAGCTTAGAATTTGAATAGAAAAGAACATAAATTTAATATGACAGCAATCTTGTTTACTAGATAGAATTAAATCAATGATTCGAACTGATTTTAATATTTGAATTACCTTAAAGATTTAGAATGTAGATATATCTATAAAATTCATGTATTTATTGTACTATAAACATTTCATATTAAACTCTGCCTAGAGAAGAATTATTTTCATAATCATTCAAATTGAATCTTCTTAGAGACGGTATTTTTATTTAAGATACATAAGCCAATCGAATTAGAGTGAATATACTATATAATTAATATAAATTTAACAGATGGATTTATCAACATCATAAATCAACCAAACAGCTGATGGGTAATCCTAATATGAAAAAATCTTAATTATAATATCTTCAATCAAATCTTTGTGTACAAATCAGCGTCGTCATAAGCAAAACAAAAATTATAATTTTTTTTCCTTTTTTCCTTTAATTTTAGACTCATAACTCATTAACAACAAATTCAATTAATGTTATGTATGAAAATGAGCAATTAATATTAACAAATCATGAACTTGTAGAATTATTTACAGAAGATTTAGAAAGTCATTTTGATAAAGTAACAGATGAAATTGATGCAATAACAATAATATTTTCAACACAATTAAAATTAAAACAAATTTGTCGAAATCGAATACGTAAACATCTTTATTCTTCTCAAATAGGTGATCTTAATCGACAAACATTTCAACACTATTAAACGAATCACTTCAACATTTTATTCTTCCATAACTTTGAATTATTTTAAAAAAAATATTTATGTTATTATTTCGATTATTATTTGACATTTGAACATGAACAAGATAAAACTTGTCAAATGTTTATTTCAATTCATTGTCTTTAGACTTTTTTTTTCAAAAGAAATACCTGACTTGTTATATAAATATATACTTTGATCATTTCTCTTGATTTATATTTAGAGTAACAATTTATCTAGTTGTCCTATTATGCTTTTTTTTTTAATTTCTCAATAATTAAAACTCAAAGAATACACACGAAGAAATCCATTTTACATTTATTCTTTATTTAAGTAACATACAATTGAATTCGAAATCCGGGGGTGGGTGTGGGCGTGGGGTGTGGGTGTGGGATGTGGGTGTGGGATGGGTGTGGGGCGGGTGTGGGTGTGGAGTGTAGATGCGATTCGAGAGAACTCCACACCCACACCCACATCCACACCCACCACACACCCACACTCACATCCACACCCACATCCACACCCATACCCACACCCTATTTTGGCACTGTTCTAGACAGTTTCATGTGCTACTACAGCAGTCGTTACTGTTCCTTATCCTTCCAAGATTGTAATATTTTCCTTCGCTGTTAGTTCACCGAACAAACGGGAATAATGGTGTTCAATAATCTTTTTAAGTTCTGATTCATCAGGATAACGACCGGCCATAGCTTTAAGTTGCGTTACAATGCGTGCAAGAGTTTCGCTATCTTGTAGCTGTGCCTTGTACGCGGCTTCATCAAATTCCTCATTATTCAGATAGTAGAACTTGAGTGTATCCACTTTTAAGTATTTTTGATAAAATTCATCCTGTTTTTCATGTGACATGGCACGTACATTCGATAGCGTGTTAACTAGACTATGATGAAGATGCTCGATGGTAATGGTAATAGTTCGAGTCGCATTTTGGTTCTGAGTCGTAACGGTCTCAATTTCGGGTATTACCTGTGCCTCTCTATGAAACCAGCAGCAGACGTTTTTCATACAACTCAACTTCACTTTTTGGCAGCAGCCTAGCTCTTCTTTCGGTTTAGTCTTGAGTCTTGCACTCTTCTGCTGCTCAACTGCCTTCTTAATTCCACTTGATACTTTGATTGAGACAATATCTTCAACAGGAAATATTTGAATGTTCTCTTCCACTCCAACATTCATTTTTAATTTTTCACGGGCGCCTGTTAAAACAGTACCAGTGTTACTTCGTTGTATTAGAAAGCCACCTGAAGTGTTCACGGTATTTAGGATGTCATGTTCTGTTTGCACATTTTGCACAGTTCTATGCCGTGTATGCACAACAAGGACAGGACAGGTGTATCCACTGTTATCAGTACGAACACCTATAAACAAAAACAAAACCCATTGTGAGCTCCGAGTTTTATCAGATCAGCACAATACACAAACTTCGTTACCATGTATCTCATTTGTATAATTGCATATGAATTCAAAGATCACATCGACCTTATAATCTCAAGGATCCCAAGACAATAAGAAACTATTTAAACCATAAGTTTTCGTGACAATCTGACGCCATTATTTCAAAAGCCGATAATACTTCAACGGATATCCTATGAAAATGTTGCCAAAAGCATAAAGATGACCATTTTTTTTTTATTTTTTTTTATTAAGCTTTGTTGAGAGAAGAATTAATGCCCTAGGGCCTTTTAAGACAGCGTTCATAAGTTAACCATGTTACTAGTAGAAGGTATATAGGAAAGAACAAGGAGAACGAGAGAAGGACCATGGGAAGCACAAAAGAAGGATAAAGTAAAGGTAAAAAGACGAAGGAAGGAAACACAAGGTCAGTAGAAAGGAGTGAGGCGACAAACGAACAATACAGGAACGTAAGTATGCAAACAAAAGGAAAACCGAAAGAAGAACAGAGAAAGAAAAAAAAACAAAAACAAATATAGCATACGCATAAAAAAACGAGAAAGACACGAATGAAGAACACTTGGTATCTAAAGGAATGTCTGAGGAAATTCAGAGAATATCACGAGATCATCTTTAGGTATAAAAGGAATAGAATCGGTAGCGTTATCTTCTAACCACCTTAGACAATACTCAATGCTCGGAACGAATGATACCAATCGTCTGGACCGATATACGCATTTCACTACATATTCCCTGTCAAGCCACTGGTTTCTGAACGAATTTAATACTTGATGCTCAAACAACATAGATCCATCTATTGAACTGTTCAGGTGGATACGATACTTCCTCCAGTATCTTGCGCATAGATTTTCAAAAGATTTTTCATCATATGCAGACGCAAAGAGGAAGTCGTTCCAGTTAGGAACTCCTAGAATTCGCTTTAAACAAGTGTAGTAAAAGTGGTTAAGATCATTCTTTTGACAATCAGTAAATAGGGGGAATATACTAAACAGCCACGTGAATAGGGGCAGGACATAGGTGGAGAACAGGATCCTACGCAATTCATGAGAAGAAGAACCGTACATCTGACATGACTTCACTATGGCTACCCTTTGCCTAATCTTACTTTTGTACAGGGAAATCATCTTGCTCCAACCGGGTTTGCATGATATGTGGTAACCAAGATATCTAAAATTCTTAACCCAAGCGACTTTATGATCTCCTATAGTGATATCAAATCTAGGGTTACCAACAGCGCGTGCTGACCATAGTAATTCGGTTTTTCCATAGTTTATTGGTTGTACAGATAGAGTAGCATAATACTCGAGGTACTCAAACAATTTCTTGAGTTTAGCCTCGAGGTCGAGACATTGCTGTGAGTACTTGGTTCCCATCATACCTCCCACAACACATGCTAAATCATCAGCAAAAAAGTTAGGAAGAGTACTTTCTAGGAAGGTCCACATATCGCTGTGGTAGGTAATAAAGACTGCGGGAGTCAAGCATGAACCTTGGGGTCCTCCTTTGGAGATCGGGAAGAGTCTTGAACGTTTCTCCTTTATTTCAATAAAGCCCCATCTGTCCTTTAACCAGCAATCAATCCACATTACGTATGCTTTAGGTATACCTAGACGAGTTAACTTACCTAGGCATCCAGCCCACCAGAGCTGGTCGAAAGCCTGTTTGAAGTCTACGAAAACGGTGGCTACGGGTGCGCTTGTACTCATTAATGAAGAGATTTGATCGATCAAATTAAGTACACTAGTCTGTAGCCTGAAATTTAATCTGAACCCAGATTGTGAGTCATTCAGAATACCTCTATTTTTAAGTATATGCTGGAATCGACATAGAAACAACCGTTCTAGTACCTTCAGGAAAATATCTAATAGAGAAATCGGTTTAGTGTCTTTCACGTAACAGATCGATTCCTTTTTAGCTAGCAACTTCATCTTTACGTGTTTCCAATAGAAGGGTGTCGTGTATGTGGTAAGTGATTCATTATATAACTCAAGTAATGCTCTCAGGTACGTATTAGGAATAAATTGGAGCATATAAGCTGATATGCCATGCGCGTCCGTGGAATGTTTTTTCTTCACCTTAGCTATCACCTTTATGAGTTCAGGCATAGAGATAGGGGGTATCGGATCCTCGTAAATATCCCAAAGTAACTCCGGACTATCTACGTAAGGATGTGGGCGATATACGTGAGTTTCACAGAAGAGCTGCTCATAATGAGAAGCAGCTAGTTCGAGCATACCGTCTGTATCTTTGACGTGCTCGCTGTTTCCATCGATGAAAGCATCGAGGGAATTAGTCGTTCTAAAATTTTTTCTCAGTTTGGATCAAAATAAATTTGAATTGAACGATGAGGTAAATCTTTCCTTTAGTGCATTTGTTAGTTTTCTTGAGCGGAAAGCAATCAACTCTTTCCTATTTATTCTTCTCAATTCTTTAATCTTTTTGTGTAACAGAACATCCCCAGTTCTTTTATGCTGGAAGGATAAGGCACGCACGTAGGATAGTTTCAGTCTCAATTCTTTAGGAATCGCAGTGCGGTAATTATTTATCGGAAAGAAGCTTGTACTTCGAGTTTTTAGACAATCCAGTAGTGTAATAAAGTTCTTATAGTGTTCATCGGCAGAGCAGAGCTTACTTTCATTCTCCCAGAATTCTGAGGTCAGTGTGAGGAAATAGTGGAAGACTTTCCAATGTGTATTACTACCTAATGTATTTTTCTTGCTTTCGCAATTTAGTACTCCCAGGATCGGTTTATGATCACTGGTAGTGTTATCTACACAAGTTTGAATCGTAAGCGGGATATTACGTGTGAATGCGTAGTCAATGATCCGATCGGATCGTAGTGATGTGGGCGCGTGGGGCAGAACTGGAGCAAGTGCTAGTGCTCCGGACCAATCCAATAAACTTTTAGCAGATCTCTCATCCGCCTTACTCTCTAGATCAATGTTAAAATCTCCAAATATGCAACATTCGTCAGTGATGTAACGTGAAAGGAGGTCCCACTCCCAAGTTTTACTCTTCGGAGAATAAATACCAATTATACGTAATGCTCTTTCGAGGGTGTGGGTGTGTGAGGTGTGGGTGTGGGTGTGGGTGTGTGGGTGTGGGTGTGGGCGTGGGGTGGGTGTGGGTGTGGGTCTGGGTCTGGGTGTGGGTGGGTGTGGGTGTGAGTGTGAGTATTCATGTTCTGTATAATCACACCCACACACCCACACGCACACCCACCCCCACCCCCACCCACACCCACCCACACCCACACCCACCCACACCCACACCCACACACCCACACCCACACCCCACACCCCACCCATAGTTTCGATTGTTTTTTATATTTTAACTGATATTTTATTTCTTGATTAAAAGAACAAATAGAACTGCAAGATTATAGAAGACGAATACAGAAAAAAAAGGAAATGAAAGTGTTCTACTGCAATTTTTTCAATTACATGAATTCACTTGCAATAATCGTATTGATCTGTTGCATTACGTCTTTCAGTAACGACGATGTATCCACTTGATTCAGTTTGACCCGTTTAACTAGATTCTCTTTTTTATCTTTTTCATAGATTGCTTCAATGTTTTTTAGCATCGTTTGAACATCCGAGGTGAAATCAGATAGTAGTAGAAATATTCCTCGATTTTTTATTTCATCGATAAGATTTTCCATTAGTGGTACGTCTTGTAAGCCTTGAGGATGGTTATCCTGACATCCGCCACTACAAAATGGTGTGTGGCCAGGAGCATCACCAACCCAAACTATTATTTGTGCTGCAGGTGAAGTACTGCCTTTTGTCCAATCTAATTGTAATGCTTTATCTAAGCCACCTTGAACATCTTCACACACATCGAGACCACCAATTGGTTTCTGACTTGAAATTTTAGCTTCAACAGGTCCAAGATGAGGTGTTTGATGAAAGGGAATCCAATCAAAACGCTCTGAGTGTTCGTAATCACGATAGGCAACAAATGCCATACGCAGAAGACTATCTTTATCGTATTGTTCTTTCATATTTTTCTGTATTCCATCAGCAATTGCTTTTATATGCTGTTTACATGCTTGAATCCAACGTGTCATAGAAGCCGTGCAATCCATCACAAAGCAAATTTCAACTGTCAATGGTGAACTATGAACACTATTTGAAAATGTCACATCAATATTACGTTTTGCATTTTGTGTAATCGCATCAAAATGTGTTTTCATTTCGTCAGTCCATACGTCATCTGTTGTTGAATACATTTTACCATCTTCTCCTCGAATTGTTGATGTTTTATCTGCATGGAAGGAATCATAAGGTGTTTGTCCATCACTTTGTTCATTCGACCAATTAATAAGTGCATCACAAAGTAAATGTGGATTATGTGCAATAATCCAATCATTGAATGCTAAAGATACACCATTAGATTCGAAACCAACACCAATTCCAATAACAGTTATTGAACGTTGTTCAGCATAAGCAATGACATTTTGTATAAAACTACCACGTTTATCATAACCATCGGTGAGAGCAAAAATAAACATTGGTCCATGATTATTATTATATGATGATTGTTGTTGTAATAATTCAGTAGCTGCAAATATAGCATCACTTAATAAAGTTGTTTCACCATCAATTTTTAATGAATTTAACAGGTGATGTACAAATAAACGATCGTATTTTTGTTTATAACTTTTAATTAATTGTATTTGTTTTCCAAATGTTAAAACATTGAAATCTTCAATACCAATTTTATTCAATGCTGCACACATGGAAATTAAAATATCTACAGATGAAAAATACGTAGGACCAGTCATTGAAACAGATTGATCAAGAAGTAATGCAATACGATATTCGGGTTTTTGTGAACCGATTTGATTAAGATAAATTCGATTATATTGTCCTTGTGTACAAATAAATTTAACAATACCTGGTATATATAATCGACTTCCTCGTGTATCTGGTAATGACTGTGTTGGTTTATATGCTGGAAGAACATAATCTTCCATGGTACGTACTAATTCACCAATATACATTTCAAGTTCTTGTTCGATTTGTTGAAGAGTTTTATCTGTTTGTGTAAGTATAGTATCATGTGCTTCTAAATTTGAATAACTTTTCTCGAGTGCATCTAGTGTTTCATCGAAATTTTTAATAAATTCATCTGAAGCAGATGTGAAATCAGTATTTATTTGTTGTTGAAATGTTTGTTGTTCGAGTTTTTGTCGAAAATCATTTACGTAAAATTGACCGGTATAAGAAATCTTAGGATGTTTCCATAATTCAACATCTTTTACATGAGATAGAATAAATGGATTCAATGGATGAAATTTAGTTGCATTATTTGTGGTTGATACACCGGGTGCTTTTGAAGTATCAGTAGGTCGATTACCATGAAGAACAATCGATTGTTCGATCATATGAAAAAGATCATCGACAACTGTTTTCGTTAAAGTATCCAATTGTCCAGTTTCAATAAGTCGATTTCGATCTGGTGCTATACGTTGTATGAATTCTTTAGCTTTTTTCTCATGTTCAATAGCAAATTGTCTATATTCATTTGAAAATTTTGTATCATCATGTTTTGGTATTTCTGGAATAATACAAACCATATAAAGTTCGGCTTTTGCAAGACTTAATTGATTCGTGAATAATTCAGTTTCATCTTGAGATGAAATGCCATCAGTAATCATAATAATAAATCGTTTGACATTTGGTTTAATTTGACTTCCGTATAAATCTTTATTTGTAGCAATTTGTTTCAATGCTGTTGCTGGTAATGTTTTTTCATCAGTTGTAAACGATTCAAGAATGTATTGTCCACGTGCTAGTACTGATTGTTGAAGACTTTGAGTAGTGTTTGTTGTTGAGTCAGTTGTCGATACCATGCTATGCATTGATTCATGGCCGAGTGGTTTAAGTATTTTTTGTTCAGCACCAAATCGAACAACACCAAATTTCCATTCAAGACGATGAAATGTTTCAAGAAGAATAACTAATGTATTTAATGCTTCACGTATTTTCTTACCACTCATACTTCCACTGTTATCAACACAGAAAATAAATTCAAATTGTAAATCATCATTAGCTGTTGTTTGTTGTTTTCCGTATTGTTTTTTTAATGCTGAACGTAAACGTGTTAATAACATTAATTGAATATTTCGTGTAAGACGAGCTAATAGAGCATATCGTGGTTTATCTAATGTTGTTTCAGGTAAATGTTCTGGATCACACTTTTCAGTAATAGTTCCAATATCATATTTCTTAGCAGATTGTAAAAGACTGGAATACATGACGGCTGATCGCTTTTGAACGTTTTCTAATTGTTGTTTACTGATAGTTACTTTTGAACTCTCATTTTTTGATGTTTTTTTATCTGATGATGAACTTCCATCTTTACTGGGACCAAATTCCACACGGATAACTCCAGGTGATTTAGTGTCTCCTTTGAATGTTGATGCATTTTTTGGTCCGTCTTTTGTCACTTCTCCGCGATCATCAATCTCTAGGACTACGTCGCGATTAGCAGTTGTTCGATGTTTCGCAGGCGATGCAGATGGATCTGTATTGTTTTCTATGTCTTCATTATTTTCATCGAGAGCTGCATTCAAATCACTGCCGTAATTTGCCAGAAGATTATCGAGACGAATACCTAACTTGTGTAATAGCGGATCACCCATTATTTCACCTTGTTCAAATTTCGAATCTTCATATCCTTGTAAGAGCTGTTTAATATTATCCAAATTTGTTTGCTGCTGTTGAACTGGTCCTTGATAATTCAAATCCGATCCATGACCATCTTCGGGTATATCATAATCATCTACTAATTCATTTTTCTTACTGAGTTTCCATAATTTACGTAAGGATTCTGATGCACTTAATTTGTCCAAAACTTGTATTAAGTCTCTTTGTATTTCTTGACATTTTGGTTTTATATGACCATCGATATCACCTGAACATGATTCAATGAACTCCAATGATTGATATAATTGTAATGAGGTTTGAATAACCTTGGGTAAGGTCGTTTTGGCTAGACTATCTATTTCTGTTCTCATATTGTTTGCTGCCATCTGTTGAATAGTATTCATAGTTGCTTGAATTTTATTGTTAATTTTAGTAGCCGTTGCTAAACATGTGATTGTTTCTGGTAACAATAATTCGTCTTGTTTAACTATATTTGATACTTGTGTTTCTGATTCTTCATTTAATTCAGCTGCTTCTGATGCGAGTGTTTCTACTTTGGTTTTTGCTGCTTCTCTTGCCTCTGCACTTGTTTCATCCATCAATAAAGGACTTGCTGGAACAGTAGACTCATATGATATTGTTTCTGTGGCTTCAACGGTACCGCTAGCTCCGATACTACCTCCACTGGCACTACTGCTACTACCACCACTACCTTTGCCGGTACTTGTACTGGCACCACCACTACCTTTGCCGGTACTTGTACTGGCACCACCACTACCTTTGCCGGTACTTGTACTGGCACCACCACTATCTTTGCCGGTACTTGTACTGGCACCACCACTATCTTTGCCGGTACTTGGACTAGCAACACTGCTACCTCCACTGCTTGCACCAGTACCACTGCTTGCACTGACACCGCTGGTACCTCCACTACTTTTGCCGGTACTTGCACTAGTACCGCTGCTACCACCACTAGAACTTCCACCGCTACCTCCATCAGCACCACTTCCTCCTGCATCACCACCTCCGCTACCATCACTGCCTCCACCTCCCATTCCACCAAATAGCTTGACGAGAGAGAGAGAGAACACTAAGCCAACTGCTGCTAATACAAGCCCAACAGGGTTTGTGACGGTTAACAGTAAAGCAATTCCACTAATTATATCAATAGCTGTTTTGACAGATTCCGGCAAATTAGGTATAAGTTCACTGAGCAATGTTAATACAGCCGATGCAATTGAACTAATCTGCGCCACTTTCGAAGCTAGTGCTGTTGCTTTCATCAGAGCTGACACGCCTTGTTGAATTTGACGAACATTTTTGTAGACAGTTTTAGCTTTTTGAACGATATCGACTACTTCTTTATTGACACCCATGGCAGTCATTGCAGTATCAATAAGATCGAGATATTGGTCACCTGACAGACGCTTTCCATTTATTAATGCTGACACCAAAGGTTTAGCACCATTAAGTATTTGTTGTCCTTTTCCACCAATGTAGGAACCAGCAATATCAATAATGTCTTCATAACTAATCTTTTCTTTGTTGAGTTTTTTGCGTAATGCCGGTATGACTGGTTGAATAATATTGTTTACTTCTGGTGGAAGAAAAGTCGCAGCGACATTTAATGACTGATCTAATATTTTTTGTGGATCATCAGAACGAATTGCATCGATTAAATTAACGACTCCATTTACTTTCTCGGCATGTTGTGGTGGTAAAAATGATGCTCCTAATTTTAATGCACATTTCGCTAGTTCTTCTTTTGCCATATCTTTATGACCAATTACTGTTCGTAGCTCTTGAGCTATATCATAGACATTTTGAATTTCTGGAGGTAAATGTGACTTTAATTTATTATTATTCAAAAGACTATTCAATGCTTGTAAAGGATCATTTGTTTGTGATAGGATGTGAGCGGTTGAATTTGCAATTTCCATAGCAGTATCAATTTTTGTAGCATATTCAGGAAAGAATTCATTTGCAATTGAATGAACTGCACCTTGAATATCACGATTTTGTATTTGATTGATAATATTTCGTGCTGTACCTAGTGCTTTTGCTGTTTTCTCATCAACAATATTCATTGTTGCATCAAATGCACAACCAAGTACATTTTCTGCTGTTATCTCTTGTTTCGTTAATTTTGTTAATGATTCTATTACATTATGAGCTTGTTCTGGAACAAATGGAATGAGTCGAAGTGCATCTTTAACAGCATCAATTTCTTGATGATTGACTATTTTCTCATAAACATTACCGACAGTTTCAAATGTTTCAGACATCTTCTTTGGTGCTATGATAGATGCCAATTCTAATGTTGTTAAAACAACATCTTTTATGTCGCATGTTTCTAATTTATCGATATGTTCGAGAGTATCAAAAATTGTCTGTGCACGTTCATTTGGTACCAATTTTAATAGGTATTTCAAAGCTTGTAATTTGTCTGTTTTCAATGAAGCCAAAACATTAAATGAGACTTCTAAAGCATTTGCTGTTTCTCTATTATATAATTCAGACACATTCCTAATTATTTGTTCTTGTGATATTTTTGATGATGACAATTGTTCAATACCAAAATTAAATCCAAGTCGAAGACCGTCAGGAAGTAAAGCTGAAATTGATTTTAGCGCTTTTGTTGGTTCAGACATGCCTTGATCAATTATTTTATTTAAACTAATTTCACTGACATCTGATAATTCTTCACTGATTATTTGCTGTGCTAATTCCATCACAGATTGTTTGATATTACCATTAAGTATCTCTGGTGCTGTTAACAAGATACATTTAATATGTTCAGACAAATGTTGATCTGGTATAATATCAAGAAGTTCAACAATAGTGCCCATAGTTACATGTTCAGTAGTATTCAATCTATTTAATACATTTGAAATTGGTCTTAGAACTTGTTTTGTAGTTTCATCAGGAACACATTCAATAGTTTGTTCAACTAATGTTGATATATTTGATCGAGTTAATTCACCATTCATAATTGGTATTAAATTTTGATAAGAATCTAATAATGTATTAAGATGATCAAGAATCGTACGTCCAATGATACCATCATTCAGACGACTAGTTAACTGAACACCTAATTCTAATACTTCTAATTGTGTTATTGTCACTGTACCAATATTCGAAATGATTTGTATGAACGCACTGTTCGCTTTTTGTTCGGTATCTTCAGGATGCATTAAATCGCATAGTTCAGAAACATTTTGCATTATTCCAAGAATATTACTTTTTTGAACGTCGGATAATATAGCTGTTAGATTATCATGCAATTTCCTATGTTCAGTTAGTTTTAATTCTTCTAGAAGAGATTGTTCAAGTGTTGTAAGAAATTTGGTAGTTGACACTGATGAAAAATGTCCTAAACGAAATGTCGCTATTTTTTCTCGAATAATCTTTATCCATGTAGTTTGTGTTGGTTTCAATCGACGACAATAATATGTTATTGATAATATTGTTTCGAAAAGATCAAATGGATCTTTTTGTTCGTTTAATTTTTTCAAATCTAATGATAAAGTTCGACAACGATCATTACCAAAATTTAACATAGCTGAAATGATATTAATATAAGTTTGATTATCACAAATGGATGTTCGATCTGTTAATAGAACGATAGTTAGAACAGTTCTTAATGAATCAATAATTGTTGAATCGAGATGTAGACTGAGTGTTGCACACAGATCTTCAATAAATTTAGACCAATCACAACTACGATCGGCTAGTTTTTTGACTCCATTTGTTAAATTTGAAATAAGACGTTGAAAAACACGAATAGTTTCTTGTTCTTTCGTATCTAAATCCGATGATAATGAAGCAACAACATATGGCAATGTCGTAATGTCTTTCACTGATGGTTGATAATCATCATGTGAAAATTTTTCACCTAATTTCATAAGTTCAATAGCATTCTTTGTTTCATCGGAATCATCTAAATGTGTTTGAAGAAAATCAAACACTGAACTAGCTGAGAGTGAATTTTCTGAAGCCGTAATTGCTTGTGTAACAAGTTCAGTATCAGCTAATGATACATCTGATTCGTATAATTTTTGTAAAATAATCTTTTCATTAACTGGTTTTTCATTTGCTGCTAATTGTAAGATTTGATCGAGAAAATATAATGAATTATGATTTGTTTCAGTTGCCATTTCAAATAAAAGATTACTGAATGCTTGTTCAGGACGACCTTTTTCTTCGATATTTTGTACAGTACCGGCGACTTTATCTGTTAGCATTTTCATTTGTTGTTTCTCTTTACTAGTCAATTTTTTATTTTGATTCATAATTAATTCTGTTGTATAATCAAGTAGACGTTTTTTAGCTGTGTGATCGTTGTTATTTTTTTTGAAAGAATGTTTTTCATATTCTAATAAACGTCCTAAAATTTGTTCATCACTATTTTGTGAGTGTTCTTCGAAAAGGACCGATAATTTTTCAGCACATTCCAGAGGTAATAACAGATTTTCTGAATCACTCTTATGTGGTGAACCAATGATGGCTGGTGTTAATTGTTCATTTAACATTGTGTCGATATTTTTGTACAATTCACTCCAATGTTTTTGTGAAAATAAATCAAATGTTTGTTTAATACTTTCTTGAATTGCATTTGTGTATGAGGATATTTCATGTCCATCTGATTCGAGACCCGATAGAATTTGCTCGCATGTTAAATTATCTGGAATATCGGAATATTTGGGTTCGTGATGTATTAATTCATCAAGTTGAATAATAATTGGAGCAATAGCAGTTGTTGCACGTTGTCGATATGAATTACTATCATCTTCAAGTAATTGCATCAATCGTTTTCCAGTCGTTGATTGTGATATTTGTTCTGATGATGGTGGAAGATCAATTGGTAAAGTTGGTCCCTTCAATGCATCTGTTGGTTTAACTCGACCAGTAACTATCAATTTGTATTTCTTCGATAGACCTGTTGCCGATCGAACTGTTAGTGGTACATCTATCTTGAAATCTCCTAATGGTGCGTTCTTTTTAATCTCTACAATACATTTAATTGGTCGCGAATGAACAGGAGCTATGGCAACGCTCTTATTATTACTATTGATTTTGAAAGAAATGACTTCATCATCATAAGACTCGGATTCTAATTGAGCACGTAAATGTCCATCATTTTTTATTGTTATTATGAATGGTGGAAGTTTTGTAAGTGGTGTTGTTGTACCACAATGGAGAACATTTTGATCAATAGTGATAATAGGTGCCAAACGTTTACAATGAAATGAAATACGTTGAATTTCTTCTTTACAATTCGTTTTAAGTATAAACTCACAATCGAATGCAGCCAATTTCTTTTGAACTTTATAAATAAACTGATATTCGATCTTTTGACGAGGCAATATCGAACGTGGATATGGATTAGAATCATCAATTGAAATATGCGAAGATGTTGAATGTATTTCATCGATTAACATTTCAACTAGACCTTTATTGAATAAAACAATTTGATCTTTTTTTTCATTCACATCTTCTTTTACTTCTAACGTTTTCAAAGGTTTTAATAATTCTTGATCTAATTCTGGCCAACCAGCTGATGTTTTCAGTATTAATTTAAACGATGGTCGTTGAGTTGCACCAGGAAAAACTAGATTTACAATGTTATCAAGAGTCGAATGTGCTTTATTCACTTGTAATTCCAATTTTAATGTAATAGATGCATTTGGTTCTAGAACAGCTCGATTATGTGATAAACTAGTAATAACTGCACCTGTTGGTATATTTTCAGCTTTCGATTCCATAGTCATTTTGACTTCACCCTTGTTGTGTATAATCAATTCTTCGTGATGAGTTGTATTAGGAAGACATGGCGGTAATTCAGTACGATATAGTTTTTCTGTTAAACGTATTGAGTTATGCATAATATCATAGGATATCTTTCGTATTTTACCCAAACAAATAATTCGATATTTGAAATCTTTACTAAAGTAGATTTCATAGATACATTTGGAATCTTGAATTACATCTTGAATATGCCAATCAATAGTTAATACTTTTGATTCATAAGCAAATAGAAAAAAATCCATTTGTTTACTATCAATATCAAATTTACCAGTTGCACCATTTTCTCGACGTAATTTAACTCGAAGATCAAGTGACATTGGATTTTCAATTGTGAATGAATGAGATCTTTGCGAACGAGGACATGCAAGAACTGTACCGAAATTAATTTCAAAGGTTTTTATTTGATTTGGCGACTGATCATCGATTTTTGTTTCCATTAATGGTAAATCAATACCAATATAAAATTCTTTTATTTCACAACAAAGTATTACCACAATGGATAATCGTTTATTTGCTAATTTCAATTGCCATTCTTCTCGATATTTACCTTCATTTACTTCACTATTAGGAATTATCTTGAGATTATTCGAATCATGTGGTTCAATAGTTGATAATGAATGATTAATAGTAAATACGGACAGAGAACGTTCTTGTGATATAGATAATATTTCAAAATCAATTTCATCATCAGTGTTATTGATAATTTCAAGTGTTTTTGTTTTGAGTTGTGCATAAGGCCAATTTTGAATAATTTGTTCAAATTGTACGATTATTGATGATTGTGATGGAAAATATTCACCATCCTGTTTATTAATTGTTATTTTATTAGTTGATGGTGAACCAGTCGATTTTACGAGTGACTTAACATTAACTGCTTTACTGATTTCAGTTAGATTCGTTATATGTGGTGGTTGTTGAAGTGTTGAGCGGATTTGTTTCTTTCGTTCATGTATTTGAGTAATAGCTTCTTCAGTAATTCTTCGACATGCATCAAATTGTTTCTCGTCGATTAATATCTGTTGATCTTTTTCAAGCCAATATTGTTTCATTGTTTCGATTTGATTAAGAGCTTGTTCAGAATGTTCTTTTGTTTCAAGTGAATAAACAATCAATTGGATGAAATTCAATTCAGCTGATATCAAAAAACGGTATATATATATACCGAAGTTCAATTCTTTTTGAGCTAATGAGCTTCCATCACTAAGTAATATATTCATTTGATCTGTATAAAGTTTATCGATTGCTTCTTTGGATATTGTACCTTCATTGTCAGACAATTGTATAAGAAAACCATATCGTTTTAAATAATTAAGTATTCTGTTTAATGTTTGTTGAAATTCTTGACCAGATTGGACACTTTTTTGTATTTTTATCGATGTATTATGTAGGTTCAAAAGAGTGGCTACTAATTTATCGAAGCGAAAAGTCTCTTTGAAGATTTTTATTCCTTGTTTTAAATCATCAGCTGAATCAAATCTTCGGACGATACCATGTTGAATTTTATCGAGTTCATTATCATTAATACTACTATTCAATACATCTATTGTTTGAATAATTATTATATCTAATTGTTCATATTTCGATGGAAGTTCAGTCATTAGATAATGATGTGTAGGTGGCATTGATACGTTCAATTTTTGAGTATCTGCTCTCATTGCAACTGCTGGTACATCATTTTTTGCTTCTGGAGGAGGTATATCTTTGAGAAGGGGCTCTCGTGGCATGTCGTATTCATTTGATTTTTTAGATTCGATTTCTGCACACTTAATTTTGAGATCCATTAACCATTTTTCAAGATTTCTCTTTCTTTCAGAAGAAGTGAAATTTTGATATTGTATTCGTAAAGCAAGAAATGGATCTTCGCTTACAACTGTTTCTGTTCCCTCAGTTGTAGTAACTGGTCCAATTGGCATTTTGAAAACATCTTCGACAGGTATATCAAAGATACCGATATTGATATTTGGCGTAAAACGTAAAATGATTGTACCTGTCTTATAATATCCGAATTTATATGTTTGTTTTTGTTCATTGTAGAATGGAGATTTGAGAAGATCGAGAGGTATACGAGCCATCCTCGTCCATTCATCACTACTGGCTTTACCCGCCAATAGTTCTAAGGTCCAAGGTTTCGATGATGTAGCAGAACTATCATCAGATGGTATAGGCATTGAATATGAAAATAAATTTTTCACAGCTTTTGAGAAACATGTGTGATCCAATGACTTCACTTCGCCTTGAATCATTTCTCCATCATGTCCTTCTTGAACAAGTTCAATTCGACTATCCCAATCGGATACCCATGTTCCTCTTGTATGTCGAGGTATATTTTCTCCATATTGTACTTCTTTAACTTCAACATGAATCGATTCTATGCGAATCATATTCATTAATTCTTTGCCTTCTTTGTCATCATCTAGGCGACATTGTTTTGGAATTAATTGTTGAATTTTAAGTAATCGTCTTACAACTTGTATAGCATCACTAAGTATTGTCTCAGCATTGTCAATATCGAAATTATTTGTTTTAAATTTTGATTCATGTAAGAGTTGTCCAATGAGTTTGACACCATTAAATATATCAGTTGAGAGTTGTTTCGTACGCTTAATTCTTTCCTGAACTTGTCGACACTTTAAATCATAATCTTGTTGTGAACGTTTATTTTCTTCTTCGATTGTTAGAACTCTGGTCGAATATCGATCCATTAATTGTTGCACCAATGACTCATTGATTTTTTTTCGTTGTAATAATAAGAGATTCATTTCCTTATTCCAATCATCAGTTATTGATTGAATTTGCAATAAATTTGGTCGTAAAGTGTTACGAACTGTTTTACTCAATTCAATTTTCAGTTCTTTTAAGTTTACTGTCGACATTCGTAATAATTCATAACGAAGTAATTTAGTCAGTCGAATAAGATAAACAATCACAGGTTCATCATTTAGCATTTCTATTCTTGGATATTTCTCTTTCAATTGACCAATTGTTTGTTTTAAAAATATAAATATTTGTTGTCCTTCATCATTTAATAATTTGAAAACAAATGAATAACGTAATCGTTTTGATGTTGAATCATGATCTCCATTGGATGGTGCAGCAAATGCACGAAGAATCTTTGATGCTTGTAACCAACCTTGAATAAGAAATTGTGCTAATTGATTGTGCCAATCAATTTGTTCATCGATATTTTCAATATGTCGAAATAGACGAATTAAATTTGCTTTAGATAATGTTTCAAGTAAATGAATATCTTCAAAATTTACACGAGTTTTAATAGTATTATTATATTCTTTTTGTAAGAAATCTATTTGTTTTTGTTGTTCTTGTTGAAGTAATTGAATAAAGAATAAAATGAATTGATCTACAAAATTTTCTAATACCGGTCGTATATGACTTAATGGTTCGATTAGTTTCTTTCGTTCATCGAATAAAAATTTGATAAATTTAAGTCCTTGTTCTAATAATAGATCTAAATAATCTTTGTGAATATAATCTAAGAACTCAGCATGCATTGTCTCCAATGATGATGAGCATGATAAATGAATAACACGTTTTAAATTTTCAAGAAATGGTTGTAAATTTTTTACTGTTTCATGTTCCAATGTATCTGTAGGATTTTCGAGAATTTTTAATATTAAACATTGAGTATTGTTAACAAGAACATTTAAATTATAACTAACTTGTGCCAAAGGATATGTCTTCGATGTTGACTCTGTGATACGTCCACTATCATTCCAATCACCACTTTGTAGAAGATCTCTCATTTTGCGTTCTATATTATCAATTATGGCTGCTGGATTGTAACATATTTCACTGAATGCATGTGTATATCGAAGTTTCAAACTATGTTGTAAGATTGGAAAATCATAAGATAGAGATTTATGAAATTCTTTCAATGAATATTCATCAACAGGTAAAGTTGTACCAGGTAAATCTGAACGTTCACGATATCCACTAAGAATTATTAATCTTTTCATATGATCATCCCATTCGTATGAATGATCATCGATTTTAATTTTCATTGTTTTCAATTGTGCAAATACCCATGAGTTTGTTTGTTGAGTTTTAAATAATTGAATACGAAAAATTGCGATACGTGCATATAGACTAGCACAATATTGTAATAAAATCGAGAGTACCTTTGATGAATAAACTACACGTGCAGTATTAGCAAACTCATCAATATGAAAAGCGATTTGACTAAGTTTTTGTACTGCTTGATGAACTGTTTCCATATTTGTAGGAATTGATGCGATATGTGATGCATTAATAATCGGTTCGATAATATCTAATGACTCAAAAATGAGTGTATTTGTTTGATTTATCATACTTTCCATTTGTTGTACATATAAATTACGTTGACTGTTGATATCATGTAACCAATTTTGTATGGAATTTAATAATTGAGTATGTATTAATTTGTAAGCAAGAAGATAATTATGAAATATTTTATATAAACTATCGTCTGATTGAAGCCATAAAAGAGCTTTTTGATAATCATCATAACATTGTGTCAGCTCTTGAGTGAGTTGTTTAATAAATACTTGAACACGAGATGTTACTTGTTCAAATTTTGGTTTTTCAAGTGTTAGTAATGCTGTTTTCGATTGAAATAAATATGCATAGAATTCACTTGATGTGTAAACTTGTCGTTTTTCTTGAGTTTCTATTCCTTCGCGTTTTCGATTTTCTATTTTTTCAATTATTTCCAATGGTAAATCATTTCCTTTGACTTGTAATTTACGATTTATTTCTAATAATCGACGTATTTGTCCGTTGGCTACAGTATTCAATTGAATTTGATAATCTCGTTCAACTTTGTTGTATTCATTTCTAGCCTCTTTCGCATTTCTTTCCAATTCTTCTCGTCTATAACTGTTAGATAGTAATCCATTGAATTCTTTTTCAGCTGTTACTTTTCTAGATCTACATCTTTGAAGTTCTTGTCCGTATTCAACAACAATTAAATCGGAAAATTTCAAATAGTTTGTTGCTATAGTCTTTCCAGTATTGTCTAATTTATCTTTGAATGTAGATAAATTATCTTTCATTTCATCGAATAAATTACTCAAGAATGATTGTATTTCAAATGCAAAAAACGAATGATATTCGTTACTTTCGAATAGTTGATAAAACCAATGTTTACGTATATCTTCGGTTTTTGCAGCTGTTGCCATTGTTTGAACAACACTCTTCATAGATTCTATGAGTGTTTGACTGGCTGTTTCAGCATTGCTAGAAAGTAATGATATAGATTCACCTGTCGTACTTTGTAATATGAATCGTTTTTCGTACAATTCTTTAATCGATGTTCGAAATTCATTGCTAGACAAATAAGTTTCGAAGTGATGAACAGTTTGAAAATCAAATTTATCTAATTGGAGTGAACTCATGAATAGTATGGGTAATTCAGGAAATAGAAGAGCAATACAATCGGATAATCGAAGATAAGATAATTGAATACCTATCGATTGATTATAATTTGATTGATCATGCAAGATTCGTGTTAGAGTTTTATGTTGTTCATACAATCGAATAAGACGTGGATAAATATGTATCAATTCATATGTTTGATTATCTTCATCATCTGACGAAATCAATACAAGTTTTGATTTATCGCATGGATTTAATTTTTGTAATTGTGTTGATCGTTGTTGAATAGCATTCTCCAATGTTTTTGTTCGAAGTAGTTCTAATTTCGGTGCTGGTAAATGAAATTGTTCAGTTTGATCATGTGCATGTTCTTGACAAAATTGTAATAATTCTTTACATATTTCGGCTAATGAAGTCGAATCAAGAAAGATAAATATGGCCATTAAATTTTTTAAATTATCAATAATCAATTGAACTGATAAATTTTGTTCAGTTGGTAAACAAAACTCATAGATTAATTTTTCAACATTTGCCCACATTGATTCAAATGTTTGTTGATGAAAATAATCAGTTAAAAATTCTAATACCGATTCTTTCTCTGAACATTTTTCATCTGTTAAAGATTTCACTAAAGCCAAAAGATTATCTCGATCATCTGAAAATCGATATCCGGTTTGACTTGGATATCTTATGGTTTTCTCAAGCATCTCCGATATAATATCCAGTGATTTTTCATATTTTACTCGTTTTATATTGAAAATATCTGTTTTCTTATGTTCAATAGATTCACTTGCAATTCGACGTTGTAATTGTTTTGGATAATTTCGCCATTTCAATAAACTTACTTCATTCAATACAGTTTTATTACGTTTTATGTCGTTCAATTCCATGAGTAACATAACAATTGCATACTGTATTCTCGATAGACCATTCTGTTTAGCCAATTGTCTTAGTTGTTCTAATTCTTTTTCAACTTTCGATAATTCATCATTTTGACGTTCAAGCATTGTTTCTTCTGCATTCTTTTTAACTAATTTTGTTTCTCGTTGACCAATATTTATTGGATCTGTTGTAACATTGTTATTTGCAGTTGGATCTGTTGCAACATGTTGAATAGCATTTTCTAGTTCAATTCTAGTAAATAGTTTAAAGTTCGTAGTATCTTCTACTGTTAATTCTTCTTCTGTTTTAAATTGTGCATGTGCTACTTGTTTGAGAATTTCACCTTCAAATGAATTAATATTTTCATAGAAATTTTCAACTGATATTTTAAGTCCATATGCATCAATATTATTCATAACAAATTCAACAATTGAAATTAATAATTTTGATATTTGATGTGATTTTTTATAAAGATCGATTTCATTCATATTTGATCGATGTATTAAAAGGATTTGTAATAATTTTGCTTGTATCATATGTATACGATCGATAAATGTTGAAATAAATGCATGAAATTTTGTTTCAGAATCCGAAAGATGGGGTTTCAAAAGATTTAAAACTGGATAACGGAATTGTTTTCCTTCAACAATAGCTAATGTTCGTGCTTTAGCAATTGGTTCTTTAGGTACACACATGAGTAAAGTTTCATCTAATTTTTTCTCAAGTTTTTCAATAGTTGGTCGTATGAGAGTTGTTCTTGCTTTAGTAACTGTTTTAAAAAGTTCTCGAATATTAATATCTGTTGATGCTAATGTTTGTTTTCCAATAATTTCTGATTGTTCGATAATATTTAAGAAGAATGTTATATCTTTGTGAATATCATTTTCAACTTGATTTTCGTAGATTTGTTGTTCAGTTCGAATTGTACCTGCTAATCGTTGTTCTTGTATCCATCCTTGAATGTCTCGATTCAATTGTTCAATATGATTTGGTTCGATTATTAAATTATCAATATCATTGATATTTCGATGTTGAAATATCTTTTCAACTAGACATGGTAAAGCAAAATGAAACATAGTGGCATCAATTTCAATTTGAATAATTTTTCTTTGAGTATCTATATCAGTATTCATAGATCGTTGCTTTACTTCGTTAATAAAACGATCAGCAAATTGAATAAAAATATCATCAAGTGGTGCTTGAGCACTTCCATAATCGATAGCAAAATGTCGAAGAATGAGTTGCTCATTTAAACGTGCCACTCCTGTTTCATTTGTAGAATATCGATTATATTTACGTTTATCAACAAGTAAAAGATTTGTTAATTGTACATTGATAAGAATATCTATTGTAGTTTCTGATTCCAAACATTTATTGATTATTGATGCTAATGTATCTTCTTTTAAAATATATATTAACATATTTTGTTGAAATAAATTTGGATAAATAAGTTGCATGGTAGTCAGACTCGAACGTCCATGTGATGTATTTATATCATCGAAATTTATCTGATTAAAAACAAATTGTCGTAAAACATCAGATTTTAATTGTTTATTTTCTTCATCAATTTTATTCGAAGATGAATAAGTTTGATTTAAATCATATTCTTTTATATAAATTTGTGATATACTTTCAAGTAATTCAGTAATACTATTTTCTTGTCGACGTCGACCATATTCACGTATAGTTTGTAGCCATCCGTTTGCTTGGAATTTTTTTAAACTTTCTCGTAACGGTAAAAATAAAGTAAATACATTTTTATATAGATGTTCAATCGCTTTCAATGTACTCAAATGTATTGCTTTTTTATGTTCTAATTTGCTTTCTTCATCTTGAAGCTTAGTTAATTCTTCGTCGACATTAATTGTTTCTTCACTTGATTCGGGTTCGAATAATCGTTTTCGTTTTTCACAAATCTTTTCAATTTCATAATCGATATCACTCACATTATCGATTAATTTTGCTTTTTCCGAATCATATTGATGAGTGATTTTATCGAGCTGACTATGACATGATACTAGTTCAGTATAGATATCATGAAGAATCGTATGAATAAAATATAAACAATTTAAACTAGCAAGTAAATTCGAAGAATTTAATAATGTTTGTTGTTCATCCATCTTTTCAATGAATTGTGGTTTAATCATGAAATTCATAGCAAGTTTACATGCAACATTTAATTCTAATTTTGAAGCAGCTAATAAAATATATTTGTCATCTTCCATAACGGATAAATATTGATATAATTTCAAGATAATATCCAATCGTTGATCAGCTGAAGAAATTATTGGAATTGATTGTACTTTTTGTAGATGAACATTTATTAATTTTAAAGCTGAATTAAATTCATTATCATCGTTGTCTAAATTTATTTGATTACGTTGACGAATTGATTCTTGTGTTTGTGAAACAATATGTAAATCATTCTTTGCCATTGGTTGACATGGAAAAGCGACCCATTTCATATATGTTTCAGTAATTAAAAGTGTATTAAGATGCTCTTGAATCTGAGTACACCATTTGAGTGTATTTGATGAATGTGATAATTTACAAATAAGTTGTAATTTTCTTGATAATGATGAAAGTTGATGAATTGTATTATTCACTTGTTGTAACTCCGTAAGACGATGTTGTGCATCGATAAATGATGTTTCTTGAGCAAATTCAAGAATTCGTTTGTAACATTCTTTAATAGTTACATCTAATAAATTTAATGAATCATCAATATTATCGAATGAGAGTATGATTTTGTTCGAATATAAATACTGATGTGTTTTTGATAACCATTTTTTCAAATCAGAACTGAATACTATTGATTGTTGTGCATCATCTATCAAAATTTTTGATCGAATCATTGATGCTTGTGAATAGAGTCCTTCATCTGATTCATTTTCTTGCTTAGTTTTAACTAATGGTTGAAGATAATCAAGTAAATTTACACCATAATCAATAAATTCTTGTTTTTTACATATGTCCTCATACATATGATTATTGATTATTTTAAGATGAAGATCAATTGTACATTCTTCAACAGATGCAATCAATTCATGAAGATTTTGTGCTGGAGCATACCAAGCCATTTGTTGTTGTCGATCATCCATTGTCAACATTGGTAGAGTAGTATAAGATGTTTTATTTAATTCAGAATCCAATAAATGTTGAGCCAATGCTTTAATTAAAGAAGCTTTACCACTAATATTCAATATAGCATCAAGATAACTTCGAAAGATAGCTGGTTTTAAAGCAAATACTGGATCATGTTTATTCGAAACATATGTTCGTAATATACGTGCTGAACGTTTAATATTTTGATAGGATAATTGATAAGATGTAATAAATTGTAATTCTTTTTCATTTGATAATTTTTTTGCTGATGCATGTGTTCGTAACAATGTATGTGCTAGTTCTTGTCCACCGTTAATACCTTGCAATTCTCCTTTAACTATGTCAGCTAGATCGTGTTGTTTAATATTGTCAAAAATCAATTCATCATCTAATGGTTGCATTCGAATAATCAAACACCGATTTCGCCAAGCACTAGATAATTTATTCGCCATTTTTCGATTATTATTGGCGATTACAAATAATCGAAAATCTTTATGTATTCCATTGTTACGACTATATTCTTGTGCTTCAGCGGATTCATATAAAGTTAATGTTGGATCAGCTTCAGCTAAAGAATTTAAACGTTCAATAACATCTCCACGTGCACAATTAATATTATCTAATAGAATCCAATCTCCACGTTCCATTCCTTGTATTAATGGTCCTTTATTGAAAGTAAATGTCAATCCTTCGCCAAGATTTTTTATTAATTTAAATTCATCTTCAATTCGATCGAGTATATCCAGATAATTTTCAATTTCTTTTGCAATTGTTTCGTTATGTATTCGATTTGCACGTTCCAATTCATTTTCCAATAATAAACGGCATCGTTGAAAAGCATCTTCAGCTTGATTACTCTTCTCTATACAGTTAAAATTTCAAGTAATAGTTAAAACTAGCAGTATTAAATAAATCTATGTCTTATGTGGAACCTGTTCCTGTTCACTCTTGTCGAACTCATTCATTGTTTTTTTTCGAAGAAAATACTGAGTATAAGTCTAGATCGAAGCTTTCGTAGCTCGTCTGCCATGTCCAACTAATCAAACATGGAGACAGAAATGCCTCAGGTCAATCTATTACGTTTTCATGGCAACGAGAAGAGGACATCGGTCATTCTAGAATTTTCTATAGCATTCAATAAATATGAAGCTTTTGCTACAGATTCTAACTAGTCTAAATATTACAAATTTTGGTGTGCAATGCAGTTAAACGATCTTATTGTCAGTGTTATTGACCTATTGGAGTTAGAACACCACAGATAGATAAAATACGTGAAGTAATGAAATTTGAATTTTAGACGAAATTCAATAGTACATGTCAAAATATATTGAGAGAACGGATGGAAGTACTCGGAAACATACTGAATGGTTGAATATATGTCTTTAGAAATCTAATATGGTAGTTGAATCGGCGAAATAAAAAACAAAATGATATTTTACCACTTCCTCTGTCATTTATCGAGTCTAACAAATTAATAGAATAGTAATTCTAAATATGAACATTTTTGCCATGATAAGATTTCATATGACGTGTGTCAACTATAAAAGTTATTATAACTTAGATTCATTCATGTGTAACAGTCAGAGCCTGTGAGTTTTGCACATGTCAGTTTTTCATGGAGATGCACTGCTAATTTTTCTGTGTAGATAAAATTTTCTTAGAACATTTAATTTTTTAATTATTATTCTGAGATGAAAAATTCTTTTCTTACCATGTTCCCACTGGTGAATCAAATTTATAATTGTTCGAATCAATTTTTCTGCTTCATAAAACTGCTGTGATAATGGTATGAGAACTGCTAATGCAAAACGAACTATATCATTTAGAAATTGTTCACTAGTTTGTTTTCGTCGTTTTTCATACGAATTTTTATTGATTACTGTCCATGAACCAAGTAAATCAGATGTTGTTGTTTCATGATTTAAATTAAGAACAAGTAATCGTCGTCCACATATTCGAGCTAATTCACAGACAAGTGCTGTTTTACCTGAACAATCACCACCTTCGATTAAAACAGTTGCCTTACTAACTGTAGCTGCTGCTAATAATTGTAATTTTTCTAATGTTCGTTGACTATGAACTAAAGGCCGATAAACTGATTGATACTCTTTCTTTTCAATATACACGAATCCAAGACGTGCATAACCTTGTAGATTTAAATCACTATCAATAAGTTCTTTGCGATTATTAACTATCTTAGTAGTTGAACTCGTATCCAATGCAAACTTTTGTCGAATCATCTCACGAACTAAATTTTGATCTTGAACATATTCAAATCGAGAAGCATAGACAATGTCAAGATAAACTTGTAGACTACGAATAATATTTTGTTCTTCAATTTTACGTAGATTATCATCATCTATTATATTTGTAGTTGTTGATGTTACTCCTTCTGAAATATTCATATGAGCACGATGTGTAAGAGAATGTGCAGCAATTAATTTCGATAGTTTTTCTATATCACGAAGATTAAAATCATATGGTCCACCAATTCGTCCAATCTGTCGCAATCGAGCTTTTTCACTTATTTCATAATGAAACATATTGATTTTTTCAACTAAATTTTCTGTTAAATAACCAGCAACCAAATGCGAATGTAATAATGATATTGTAATATACATCAGTTCACGTACTTCAAATGTAGATAATTGAACTTGAATAAAATGTGCTTGAGTTGATCGAGGTAATTTTTCTCGTCCACCACCAATCGATGTCGGATTCATAGCTGCTACAATAATTGAACCATCAATTGGAATTGATTTCGCTAATGCTGGTATGAATAATTCATTTTCATTAGCAAATAATGGCATCAATTGATTTAATAATTCTTTACGTGCTAAATTTAATTCATCGAGTAGAATAACTGTATTTCGACGATTTTTTTTCAATGATGTATATAATGGACCTTCTTGAAATTCAAATGATCGTTGACCATTAACAACACGTGGTACGAATGAACCAATAAGATCTTCAAATGCTGTATTACTACTAAAATTAATACGAACAACCTCGTAACCTAACATTTTAGCTAAAACTTCGATAATTTTTGTTTTACCAACACCTGGTGGACCAGCAAGTAATTGTCGATTGGATGAATGTAATGAAAATATAATTCGTGATATATTATTTAAAACTGATTTTGTCAGAGCAAGAGAAAAACGAAGATTTTCAGGACGTGATTTTATTTTTGGTGCAAATGGTGCTATTAAATTATTTGACTTCAATCGTAAACCCCAATGTGTTCGTAATTGTTTTGTTTCTGTATCGACTATTGTCATTTCTTCGACTGTACACCATTGACTTAGATCTTTATAAACACCTACTTTTTCAAGATTTCCATCAGTTGTAATAGAATCTTTTTCTTCAGTTGTAGCACTATCTTTTTCATCTGTTGGTAGAAAATTCTTTTCACATTTAAATGCAGTAAGTACTTTTTGCCATATTGTATTTGTTGAATGTATATTTGAAGTCGTTGATTGTTTTGGTTCAATAATACTATCAAGAAATAAAAATTTAACACAAATAGCAGCTGCTTGTTCGATTGGCATATGTTCAAGATGTAAACGTAAACATTCACCAAATCGAACAAAATGACGTGAATCTAATGAATCAATTTTCATTGCTTGAGCAAGTTGTGGTGCAAGATTATCAGCTAAAGTATTAATAATTTGAGTCATTTGATTCTCAATATGTTTATCACGAATTGTATTCACTGTTGATTTCATCGCTAATTGTTTGAGTTCATTGTTATCATATGGTTGAATACGTATTTCTGTCATTCTTGAACGCGTTGCTGCACTCAATTGTAAACGATTTTCGGTTTTTTCATCTGTATGTACCGTAGCAAATACTTGAAATGTTGGTAAGATTGGAAATTTTGCGCGTTGTGGATTGATCTTTGTTGTTTTGGATTCTTGAGCAGTAAAATCTTCATAGAGAACAAATGATGGTTCAGTTTCGAATAAACTATTTAAACGTTCGATAACAGCTTGAGATGGTTCATTCATATCTTCTAAAACTAATATTTTACCCTCTTTAACAGCACTTGTAACTGGACCATCTTGAAATAAGAAAATATTTGATTTGCCTTGTTCAATTGCTCGTTCAATTTCAATAATTATACTTTCACAACGAACTTTTATCAGAAGAATACCATTTTCATTCGATCCAATACGACATATGTCATCGAGACCTGCAGTAATTATTTCAAGTCGATTTTTAATTGATTGAAATGCTTCAGCAACTGGATTGGTTTTCGTACCAAATAAAGAAGTCAAAACATGTGTCGTTGATTGATCATCCGATTGTGCTCCCATAAAAAACTCTAAAAGTTTTTCATCATCTGAAAGTTGTGATGGTTGACCTGTGCTAAATGGATCAATTTCATCTTCTTCTTCTGGTTTTGTTAGAACGAATGTAGGCACACTGAAAGGATCAATATCCTCTTCTTCAGGATGATTGTGAACTATTGTAAATGGATCAACATCAGTTTGATCATTGCTTATTACTTCGAATGGATCAACGTCCTCTTGATCATTCACCATCATATCGACAACGTGTTTAGTATGATAAATTTTTTCAAAATATTCATCGTCATCATCGTCAGTGGAGTGTTTTTTCGTACTGTTGAATTGATTTGTTGTTGTCGTCGACTTCGGAGGTAAATTAAATGTTGGCAAAGGTGTGAAATCATTTGTTTGACTTGGTTCAGAATCGACTTTAATATCTTCCGATGTAACAATTGGTTCAGATGGTTGTTCGATATTTTTTGTTGTTTGATGTTTTCGAACTTTCTTTTTCTCTTGTTGTTTTTTGATTTCACTAATAAATTTATCAATATCATCAGCAAATGCATCACAATTTGTACGAAATTCAGTAAATTTGTTAAAATCTATTGCAGAAGCATTTTTTGATAGATTCTTTTTCGCACGTTCATAGAGTTGATTCAAACAGTTCAATAATAAACCCAAAGCATCAGCATGTGTATACGGTCTAAATAAAATAACATTCGGTAAAAAGACTGACCATTTGGAATATGAAAAGTGTTATTTTTACGTTGATTACGATCTATGATAGAGTCAATAGAGGAGTATGTCGAAATCATTAGAACAGAGAAAATCCTTCAGTAGTTCTGAGTTCATGATTCGTGTGGATGTAGATGTGGTAAACGATTACAAAATCCTGACTCACAATCTCATCCATTCACGTCTGCTTATTCTCCATATCTAGGAATTTTAGTTTCTACAGTTGCAGTCTGAAAAAAATCTGGAACTCATGCGTACTGAATATCGTTCACAACCGACATAATGCATACTAAAATGTGTTTCTATTCTTGAAGTTTGTAACTCCGAGAAAAAGGAATACTGACACTTCTACCTATCCACATCCTTAAACATCTATTTTACCTAATCGATCCGATGAGATCACTTGTTTCGGTTGATGTTGAACAAGTAATTATACAAAGTTCGGATTCTTTTGCCATTAATTTTGACCAGATTTTGATCAATTCGGATTTATAACAAGTTGGTCCAAGTAAAAGAATTGGTTCATGTTGTTCAGCAGCGGCAAAGACACGCCAAAGTGAAAGTAACAAATTTTGTGGTGCTGACGATAATTGTAAATTGATTGCTGCGTCGAAATTAGCAAATGCATATGATATTGCCAAACAAGGTGGACGATTAAGTGATATTTGATTACCCTCAATTTTAACATGAGATTGTGGATCGATCAATTGTGGAAATGAAGTTTGTAGACATGTAATAAACGCATTATTGAGTTTTTTTGGTACACGTGATTCTAATAATCTCAATGCATGTTCATCCCAACCGACATCCATTTTTCGTTGTTTTCGATTGATCCATTTAATAACTTCACGCATTGTTAGACCAAGTTTTGGTGCTCCTAAAAGCGGTTGTTGTTTCTCATCGATCTGTCGATTCAAATTTGTAACCATTGATGCTATTTGTGGTGCGAATTTTTTCAAATCATCATCGAATGCTGCCGATGATTTTGATACAGTGGATGTTGATTTTCGTTGTATAATTATAAATTCAAGTTCTTTTTCAGTAAATGAATGAAATTGTATTTCTAAAAATCGTGAACGTAATGTTTTTGGTAATTGTTTTCGGCCGATATAACTCGTGCCATTTTGTGTTGCAAAGAAACGAAATCCATCACGTGCCATTAATGTTTGACCAGTATTTGGTACAGTAAGATATTGTTGACCTTCCAAAATTGGATACAAAACATTCATTACAGCTGGTTCAGCTAAATCAAATTCATCGGCAACAAACCAATCTCCATCAAGCATAGCACGAGATAATGCTCCGTTTAGAAATTCACCATTTGGCATATATGAACCGAAATAATCTTGTAAAGTTGTACCTTTTGTATTATTAACTCGATATGGAATTTTATTATCACATTGTGCCAAATATTCAATTAAACTTGTTTTACCTGTTGCAGCAGGACCTTCAAGAAGTACAGGACATGAACAAATAACAGATGCACATAGACGTTTAGCTGCATCGTAGCGTGTTGGTGTTTTATCAGGATCGATAATATGTTCACGATGTTCTTCACGTACTTTTTTCGGAACCGAAAAATCAAAAAAATTTATAGAACCATGTTTTGCTTCTTTCTCTAAATATGATTTAACAGATGATGTTCGTGCTTTTGTTGAATCACTATTAAAAACAAGTTCATAAGCTGAAAGTAAAACAGATGGTAAATCTATTTTGCGTTCTGTTATAATCTTTGAATGTTGTAATTTAAATGCACAATCAATAAATTGAACTAATTGTCTTGGTGTTAATTGTTCCGAATGAAGTTTTTCACAAACAGAATTAATGAGTTGTTTTTCATTTGTTGGAAAATACGATGTAAACATATTTTTATAGACATCTAATGATGATAAATTCAAGCCTTGATAATAAATAATTAAAAATCGATTATATAAAGCAGGTGAAAGCTCATGATTTGTTTCGATTGAAGCATTTTGTAATCGACCAGTTGGTGGAGACATTGTAGCAATAATACGAAAATTAGGATTAACTGATGCAGGTTCTGTTTCATTATTTTCTACTTTAACCCATTGAGGTGGTTGTTCAAGAACAGGATTTAAACGTTCAAGAACAGCTGATGATGCTTCAGAAAAGTTTTCAAGAATAAGCCAATGTCCTTTAGTAATCGCTTCGCTCACAGCACCATCATGCCAACGTGGTAATTTTGGATGTGGTACGAGAGAGCCGACAAGAGCTGCCGGTTCGGTTTGTGGTGTTAAATATAAATGTTGACAACGAACATTTGTTAATGTAGCTATTGCTTGAACAAGATGACTTTTACCACATCCTTCTGGACCAACAATCAGAATGGGTTGTGATTGTGATGCTGCTAAAATAAATTGTGTAATACGATTAGCTTCATCATCGAGATAAAATGATGAATGAGCAGATGAAAGTGATGAAGTCGATTTTGAAAGATATGTTTCAGGTTCACTAAATTCTGCAGCAATATGTTTGATAATTTCCATTCGTTGTTTTTCATCTCGACATAGACTTGTATAAGTTTCAACAATTATTTCAGCTAGAGTCAAATTTTGTGAATGTCGTCTTTCTATCATTGACCAGAATAATGCATAAGAACAATTATGAATCTGTGTTATATGTTCATTATGAAAATATTTAAAAAAATAATTGTGAATTTTAATCATTTTTGTAATCTCTTGATTATTACTCGGTTTCATAATATGTGATGGCCAATCGTTAAGAACACGATCGAGAAAAACTATTGGCATTTGTAATAATAAACGTTGTTTGGATAGAAATGCAACAGCATTATTATTTGGACGATATTCAATCGATAATTTTGACGATGGTATTGGACTGAAACGAAAGAGATTTTCAATAATTCTTGCAATTTGACTTCGACTTTGTTCTTCACGAAACCGTAAACCATAAATAGCATATGCTTGTTCAGTAAGAATTTGATTGAATGTGTTAGGAGTGAGTTTACTAACTGTTTGCGAGCATTTAATTAACATCTTTTCATAATCACATAAAGTTTGACACCAACGAAAAAGTTCACGTATGGTTATTTCAGAATAGTTTCTATTTCGTTCTTTGAAATCATTATCTTTAATGGTTTCCATGATTCTCAAATGTAAATTTACCATTTGTGTAGTTTGAGTTGCAAAAGGAAATTTTTCATTTTTTAATCTATTTGTAATAATATCGACTAACTCATCATTTTGTGGCCCTTCAACAATAAAAATACTGAAACGATTTAATAGAGCTGTTGATTGTGTATCACGTGCGTCTTTATATTTGCCTGCTGATGGATTTTGTGTTGCAAAAAGACGAAATTCTGGATGTATTTGATAGATACGACAATTTTGTTTTGCTTGATTTTGTGGTTCTTCAACATTATCCTCATCTTCAATATTTGGTATTGTCAATACACCCGATTCCAATGCTTGTTCAATTGCTTGAAGAACATTTGGTGGTGCTAAATTCATTTCATCTAATAAAAGCCAATGACCATTACGATAAGCTGTTGTAAATGGACCTTCTTCATAATCTAATTCAATTTCTTGTCGTTGATCATTTGCACTTTTGACTGTTTTCAATTTAACTGAACCAAATAAACCACCAATATCAGTTTTTGACGAAAGATTAAAACGAATTAATGGTTTTTGAAGATCAGCAGCAACATCAAGTATAAGACTACTCTTTCCAACACCGGTTTCACCTTGTAATAATAAATGAATAGGTGTTCGTATACATTCAATAATACGTTGACGATTATTTAACATAGTTTTTGTTTGCACTAATGATGGTAATTGACGACGACTTGGTATTAAATGACGAAATTCATCTGGACATTTGCTAATTAAATTTTTTACTGTATCTAAATTAGTTGTATCAGTTTTTGAACTGTCATCAAAATTAGTTAATGATTTCAAATGCTTAGATAATGTTTCAAAATCCGATCGTTTTATCGTACGAAAAGGTATTTGAGATTTCGAACGTTTTTTTTCACGTTCTAAAAGATGTACTGGCGCAGTTTGCATTTGTGTAACTGATCGTTGTTGATCATTAAATAAGTTTAATGTTGTTACAGTTGTCATATTGATATCTTCACTATTTGAATCTTGTAAACTTTGTAAAAGTTTTATAAGATCATCTGATTGCATATCTAATGCACGACCAACTAAACGAGCAATTGACACACGTATACGAGAATTTTTATGTAATAGACATTGAATACAAATAGGTAAAGATTGTTGAATGTATATTGAAAGAAAAGTAAATGCCGATAATGAAATTAAATTCATTGCATGATCGAATTTTTCATGTAATAATTCAATAAGTTCATAAGTGTACATACCAATGAGTTTCATTATAGTTGATGGTTGTAGATTAAATGATGATTGTTCATCATTGGATGAAGTATATTTAAGGATTTCTTCTTCATTTAAATTATCATTTGTTAATAATGCCAGTGTTAATAATTGTTTGAACCAATACTTAATTAAAACTTGTTGTTTTGATCGAAGTACAAAATTGAATAATCGTGACATTTGTCTATAATCGACTGGAAGTAATATTGTAGATTGAATAACTCGTTGCATATCATCTGTATTCATGATTGAGATTTGCGTGTTGATTTGATCAATTAAATAAAGAATAATCGATGTTGTACATGATAATATACTACGACGAAATGTGAAATTCCAAACAAGTTGTTGATCACTTTTTTGATTTGAAAATACAGAATGAAGAACGTTAATAATCGGTTGAATTGTTGTTGAAATATTAAAGTTTTTCGGCTTTAATTGCCCATCAAATGATTTTTCTAAGAGTAAGAGAAATTCAAAAAGAAGTAGTGGATTTTTATCTGTATTCAATTTTATCAATGACAGTAAAAGATCAAAGCTTGAGGCTACTTTCCAGTTATCAAATGCATATACACGAGAGTCTTTCAATAACTCATGTATATTTTCTTGTACGTGATTGTCTTTAATTTGTTGATCGATAATTTCTAATACAATTTTAATCCAATCTTTTTTACAATTTTTAATCATAAATTTTAAAATTTGAAATGAGTTTTCTATTGTTGGCTGAAATAATCTGGTGAATAATGATGTTTGTATTTGTCGACAAAATTCGATAAAATTCGGATTCATTTTTATTATTGATGATGTCAATCGATCAAGATTAATATTCATTAAATTAACAAAGAATTGGAACCATACATGACGATAATCGAGATTTTCACTTCGTAATGCTGAAACTTCGCTTAAGTTCATAGCTAATGTTGTCAATAATGAACATAAATCATCAATTGACCAATTCAATGATGGCTGCAAACATTCATTAAATAAACTTGCCTTAATTGAATATTTTTCATTATTAATCATAGATTGAAAATTTTTTTCAATAATTGAACATGATAATAACGGTGCAAGGTTTTCATCTGTTGAAATAGGTAATTCCTTGATAAATGTCGTAATAAGTTTGGTTCCTGTCTCTCGTATCTGTTCGTCTTCATGAGCCAGAAAATAGACAAAAAAATCTTTTACATCACCTTTTGCTAAATCAAGATTTGATTTTGAATTTTCCAAATATCTTGTAAATGTTTGGTAAATTGTTTGTAATAATAAATTCCAAAGTCCTTTTGCTTCTGTATCATTATTATCTTGTTGTTGGACATATGCATATTGTAATAATTTTGATATTGGTAATAAAAATGATGGTCGTGGATGAATTGTATTAGCTGGATAGATGAATTCTTTACCATCTGTCCATCGAACTCGACATTCACTTTGAATAAATTTAAATTCACCATTGTCTGCATCTGGTAAATAGTCGAATTTATTTAACATTTGATTTTTAATTGATACTAATTGTGTTTGAGCTTGTGTGTTGGTTTCATCTGTTAATCGAACGTCTACTATTCGTTGACGTTGAACTGCAAATGATAACATCGATGATAAACATTGATCTGCATTCAAAAATGATCGAAGTATAAATCCACAACGAAATAATTGATTTAAAATGCTTTCAAGAGCAGTTAATTCATCAGCATGTGTATCTTGATCCTTGCTTGCTTTTTCAATAAATAAATCAAATTGATTGGTGATATCAATTGGATACTTGGTGTTATCACACAATATAGCGCATCCCGGTGAATCTGATGTGAATGGAAATTGTTTTCCAGATTCAAAACGCATTTTATTTGTTGTTGAATTTTGACTGATTGGTTTCCCGAGCCACATTTCAATTGTCCATTTGTCAATTCGAGTAAGAATTGAATTCGATCGATAAACATTTGTACGTGAAATAAATACAGCAATGGAAAATCGAAAATTTTCATTTTTTGATACTGAAGAATGTGATAATATTAATTCGAATAATTGGAAAAAATACAACGAAAATTTATCATGCGTTGAATAGAATTGATAACATGGAATAATTAATGTAGCAGTAATTAATGAGACAAGTGATGTACCATCATCGCTTTCTGCATCACGATGAGTTTTATCTTTCAAGTACTTGAATTCTTTGATGATGTTTGCATCATCGTCTGTTGGATCACCGGAAAACTTTCGTAAGCGTTCCAGTGATTGTCGGATCAGTGAAAAATTCGCATCTGTCAATGATCGAGCGAATGAAGCGCTCATCTCTCGAATGATAGGAACTGAAGCAGTACCAGCACTTGAGCTCTTCGTAGAGCTAGCAGCCTGTGTCATGTCAGAAGCGTCAAAGAATTATGTATTTGATAATAAATACTAAATTAATATCTATAAAAAAAAAGTAAATTGACATAAATTATGTCAGATACAACAGTAATCATCGAAGAAGATATAAGTCAGAGTCCGAACCCAAACTGGATTTTCGAACTCCTGTGGAATCGACGGTGTGGATGTGGGTGTGGGTTTGGATGTGGTTGTGGGTGTGAATGTGGGTGTAGGTGTGGGTGGGTGGGTGTGGGTGCCGTTGTCGCTGTCGGTCTCGGCGTGGTTGTGGGCGTGGGTGTGTGTACCGCTGTGGGTGTGAGTGTGGTCGTCTCTGAACCCCCACACCCACACCCGCATGCCATTTAATCGATTTACAGATCTAATTTGTCGAAGAAAGAATTGTTTCTCTAAGTGTCGTGGAAAGTTGCGCATACAACTATGATCAATTCGGCAAGATGGTTTAATTTTTTCGACGATGTCATTACTACAGTTTTGCATAGTACTTGACAGTTCGTGACAGAAAATGAACGATATATTGTAGTTTATTTTCTTGGGCTAGAAAGCATCATCAACCATGACTTCGAACACAAATTATATCGATAATTGTACTTGAAACGAGCTCATGGAATGATTCATTTTCGTGAACATGTTTAAGGCACAAAACTGAACCATGAATCAAACATATGCAAGTGAGTAAAATAAGGAGAATGACCTTCTGTTGCAAAACTTACAGATGAAGATGATATTTGTGACTAGGGATGCACCGGTGGTACGGTGGGACCGGTGGACGGTGCACCAGTGGTACGGTGGGACCGGTGCACCGGTCATTTTTTTTGTATTCCTCTGTCTAGGGATGCAACGGTGCCGGTGCAACGTCCACCGGTTCACCGTAGTACCGGTCGGTTTTTATTTCCTTTGTGTTACATCAGTTTTTCGGAATTCGGTACTCGATTTTCCACTAAACAAAGTGTTTTTTAAGAAGATAATGATTTTTTATAAAGGTTGGCGAAAGTAAATCGGCGTCGAGGATTTCGAATCTGCAATCAGTTTTTTGAAATTTCGTGCTCGATTTTTTCATTAAAAAACGTTTTTTTTGAGAAAATAACGAGTTTTTATAAAGGTTGACGAAAGTAAATCGGGGTCGCAAATCTGAATCTGCAATCAGTTTTTCGAAATTGTGTACTCGATTTTTTCACTAAACAAAGTGTTTTTTAAGAAAATAATGATTTTTTATAAAGGTTGACGAAAGTAAATCGGCGTCGGGGAATCCGAATCTGCAATCAGTTTTTCAAAATTCCGCACTCGATTTTTTCCCTAAACAAAGTGTTTTTTGAGAAAATAATGATTTTTTTATAAAGGTTGACGAAAGTAAATCAGGGTCGAGGAATCCAAATCTGCAATCACTTTTTCGAAATTCAGTACTCGATTTTTTACATGATTTTTTTCTGGAAAAACTTTTTAGCAAACAAACGGTTTTTTGTGGAATAAAGTTTCATATCAAAAACATGATTTTTTAGAAAAACAATTTTTTTTTTGTTGAAAATATTGCACTTAATATCTCGACAATGTGATTTCAGATTTTGTTTTCTCGACCCCAGTTATCTTTTCTAGCAGTTTTCAAACAATCACTATTTCACGCAAAAATCCTTTCTTTAGTGAAAAAGTCGAGTATCGAATTTCGAAAAACTCACTCCAAATTCGGATTCCCGAGACCCGTTTACTTTCGTCTGCCTTTATAAACGATCGTTGTTTTCTCAAAAAACCGTTTCCCGTGCGAAAACCGGCTTGGATCGGTGGCCATACGTCATACTATGGGTTATTTAATTTCAATCTGAATTTAAACAGAAATAAATGTGGAAACCTCGGATTTAAATCCGAGAATTATGTGTACTTCAAAAAGTGAATGAGACAGATTAGTCATCCTAGAATGTGGGGATATAAAAATGATCCTGGCAAACCTTATCTATAAACACTTGATTTCTATTGGCTACTGCTCAACCACTAGGATTTACAGATGAATACAGCTCAGATTTGAACTCTTCGCCTTGATTTACCCTAGGAAAGTCGTTTTTCCGATAACTTGATTTCTATTGGTTACTGCTCAACCAATAGGATTTCGAGGCAAACGGAGCTCAGATTGGAGTTCTCCAACCCAGAAAACCACGAACTGTCGTCTCTATGATCGAAAGGCAGAGCTCTAATTGTGGCTCAATTAGAGTGTGGACACAAACAGAACCAATTCCCGTTTAATTACCCTTGCAATAGTATACCATTTTGTAGCTCGTGAAATTCTCTATCGAATGGTATATAATAGTTGGGGTTTTATTTGACTATAATAGGAAAAGTTTTTTACGAAAGCGGGATAGGTCGATTTTCGCATAGGAAGGCATAGGGAAAAATGCCTATTTTTCCAATAACTCACCAACGGCTCGGCCAATCCTTCTCATCTTCGAACTCGACCGAGATATTGTTGAGACTAAACTGTGTAGAAAATTTCATCGCAATCGAACTCTCCTTTCAAAAGTTATCGTGTATACGGACGGCCGGCCGGACACACTGACCGATTCTAGAGTGTACTCACTTTTTGAGTACACAAAAAGAGCACTTGATTTCAAATTGAAATAAGGGACTAAGGGGACTAAGGGGGGGAAGGAGAAAATGAGGGAGGAGAGAGGAAGTGTGGGTGAGGGAGGAGAGAGAAAATGTGGGTGAGGGGGGAGAGATACTGTGGGTGAGAGGGGAGAGAGAAAGTGTAGGTGAGGGGGGAAAGAGAGAAAGTGTGAGTGAGAGGGGAGAGAGAAAGTGTGGGTGAGGGGGAGGGAGAGAGAAAGTGTG